AAGGAATAGCATGGAGGACATTAGGAGAAGGAAGGGAAAAATGAAGGGAGGGAAATCAGAGGGAGAGATGAACCATGAGAGACTATGGACTCTGAGAAACTGAGGGTTTTAGAGGGGAAGGGGGTGGGGGGATGGGTTAGCCCATGGTGATGGGTATTAAGGAGGGCACGTTCTGCATGGAGCATTGGGTGTTATACCCAAACAATGAATCATCGAACACTACATCAAAAACTAATGATGTGTGGTGATTATCATGACATAATAAAAATGGAACAGAATAGAAAACCCACAGATGAATCCACAGCTATAGAGTCAACTAATCTTTGACAAAGTAGGAAAGAATGGAAAAAAGATAGTCTCTTCAACAAATGGTGTTGGGAAAACTGGACAGCAGCATGCAAAAGAATAAAACTGGACCACTTTCTTACATCATACACAAAAATAAATTCAAAATGGAGGAAAGACCTAAATATGAGACAGAAAACCATCAAAATCTTAGAGGAGAACACAGGCAGTAACCTCTTTGACATTGGCTGTCACAACTTCTTACTAGATAGGTCTCCTGAGGCAAGGGAAACAAAAGCAAAAATAAACTATTGGGACTTCCTCAAGATAAAAAGCTTCTGTACAGCAAAGGAAACAATCAACAAAACTAAAAAACTAAAAGGAAATCTTTAGAATGGGAGAAGGTATTTGCAAATGACAGACTGGATAAAGGGCTAGTATCCAAAATATATAAATAATTTATAAAACTCAATGCCCAAAAAACAATCCGGTTTAAAAATGGGTAGACAACATGATTAGACATTTTTCCAAAGACATGCATGTCTTTGGGAAAGATGATCAACATCACTCACCATTAGGGAGATACAAATCAAAACAATGATAAGATACCAACTCACACCAGTCGAAAAGGCTAAAATTAACAACACAGGAAACAACAGTTGTTGGGGAGGATGTGGAGAAAGGGGAACCCTCTTAACTGTTGGTGGGAGTGCCAACTTGTGCATCCATTGTGGAAAACAATATGGAGGTTCCTCAAAAAGTTAAAAATAGAACTACCTTATATTCCAGCAATTTCACTACTAGGTATTTACCCAAAGGATACAAAAATACTGATTCAAAGGGACACATGCATCCTGATGTTTATAGCAGCATTATCAACAATAGCCAAATTATGGAAAGAGCCCAAATGTCCATCACCTAATGAATGGATAAAGAAGATGTAGTATGTATATACAATGGAATATTAGTCAGCCATAAAAAAGAATGAAATCTTGCCATTTGCAATGACATGGATGGTGCTGGAGAATATTATGCTATGGGAAATAAGTCAGTCAGAGAAAGACAAATACCACATGATTTTGATCATATGTGGAGTTTAAGAAACAAAGTAGATGAACATGGGTTGGGGGGAGAGGGAAACCAGGAGACAGATTGTTAACTGTAGAGAACAAACTGAGGGTTACTGGAGGGGAGGTGGGTGGGGGGACGGGTTAAATAGGTGATTAAGATTAAGGAGTGCACTTGTTGTGATGAGCACTGGGTGATATATGGAAGTGATGAATCACTAAATTCTACACCTGAAACTAATATTACACTGTATGTTAACTAACTGGAATTTAAATAAAAATTTGGAAAAGAAAAAAAATAAAGAAAAGAAAAAACAACCTAATTAGTAGCTGACTGGTTGTTTTCCTTCCCAGCTCAAATTGTGCTGAAATCCTATTAAAAATACAAAAAAGTCCGGATACTAGTTGAAATTTACTTTTGCTATCACAGCAAACAGTGGAAAGTGTTCTGGAAATGAGAAAGTTATTTTGCATACAACTGCTTAAAAATTGACTAGACTAGATGCTTTTAGTACTTTTCATGGCCTTGTTTAAAGGAACTGGTTTCATCCTTATATATCCTTGTTATTGGAAAAATATAGTATTGTTGATTCCCTTGAAAAAAGTAGCAATTTTTGTAAATTAACATTTAATGCTAATCAATGTTCTTAGTAATGCATAAATTAATGTTCTTGGTAATACAATGTTTAGGGATTGTTGTTTATTCTAAAAGATATCTAGTTCCTACTTAATACACTCTTACGTGAGGATTAAATATATAAATGGAAAATTGAGTTGCATCCAGAGAGATGAGGCTCTGCCATAGCATTTGTATTTCAAGCACACCTTACTGTAGGTATGACAGTAATGCTAGCCTACATTTGAGATCCGTGGGCAGTCTGAATTAAAAAGCATTATCCATCTACGCTTCTGACAGAGGAAGTAATCTTGGAGAAAATTTTGCTGTTAAGTAGCCAGAACGATGTGTTAATAAAGCAGCAAAGTATTTTCATTGTGGTTAAAAAGTAAGCAAAGTCAGATTTTGAGATATAGACACTAAAATGAGTAATTTGAAGATGACAATTATTTTTAAAAACTAACATTTATTGAGTACTTATTGTGTACTAGGCACTTTCTCATAACATTTCTATGAGGTAGGAGTTGTTATCATCCCCATTTACAGGTGAGGCACCTGAGGCATTGAGAGGTCAAGTAAGTTACCCAAATCTCAAGACAGAAAGTAATAGGGGAAAATTTGAATTCAAATATCCTGATGCTTGAGTCTGCCCTGCTTCGACCACTGTACAATATTATAAACAAACAAACCTCTAGAAATCATGAACAAGCACAATAAGGATTAATTATACACTACAGTTCTAGCAGCATGACTGGCTAAATAACCAAAAAATCCTCCTGCCACCTAGTACTGATAGATAAAATATGACATTTTTTTAAATACATAGGTGCCATACATACATAATACATAAGTACATAAAATATATGTATAGAAAAATACAGACTCCAGAAACACAGGCAAAACTGAATTCCAGAACAGTAAGTATGGGGGCAGAAATGACAGCTAGCCTTGGGGAGACTGTCAGTTCTGATAACTGACAAGGGGCTCCTTGAGACCATATGTGGCAGGAAGCTGGAACTGAGACCCTTGTATTAAGCTTACACCCACAAAAGTCTTAGTGAAATCATAGATAGAAAAAAATCCAACTCAATGAAGGAAGTGTTTTTATTCCTGTTTTACCTCCAGCTGGGAAAAAGACCCCTGAGAATCTGTAGCCAGAGATTTGTATTTCATGCAGGTTTAGGGTACAAGTTTACACTATGTGAGCCAGGAAGCTCCGAGCTGGAAAACATGTATTGGGCCAATAATACTACTAGGAATCCTGGGAAAGGTAAGGACAAAGCACACATTGCAGCTCGGGCAGGAGAAAAGAAAAACTCAACCCCTGAGGATAGTCAGGATGGGAGCAAGAAAATGTCTTTGGCTAAAAACATAATACCTCTACCAACATTTACCTAGTAGAAATCTCTTACTCTAGGAGAGGAGTAAGAAACTCCTGTTTAAGATCAACCACAGGTAGAAGGCAGAATTTAGCTGTCATAGGAAGAAGGGACAGAAAAGTGAAAAAGTCCTACTCCCAGAGGCCCACATAAACAGCACTTTTCTAAGACTGAGCAAGAATCAAAATTACAGAGAACTCCCACTCTGCCCCCCAAAACAATCTAACATGGAGCACAAAACAACAGCAATCTTCCTCCAGGGGAAGAGCAAAAATGTAGAGAGAGAGAGACACCCTCTGTGTCATGGGCATTTATGAACAGCTGAAAGCTGAAGAAAAACTCTAACACTGAGAAAAAAACCTCCAGAACCCTAGTCCTCATTCTAAGCATGGACCCACGGCTAGATTAATTTGAAACCTCTGGTCTTCTGAACTTTACCAGAGCAACAACAAAATCCAAACCCAGCTCAACTCATGATCAGACTGACTCAAGCCTCTGCACTAATAGTATGATAGAAGAAGAGGCATGCCCATTTCCAGTGGTTAATACCATTTAGCTCAGTTCCCCATTGTTAAACCCATGAAATCTGGCATTCAAGCCAAAATTATGAGATATTTAAATAAGCAAGGAAAAAATGCCTAAACATTCTTAGAAGACAAAGAAATTAACAGAGGGCGCCTGGGTGGCTCAGTTGGTTAAGCAAATGCCTTCGGCTCAGATCATGATTCTGGAGTCCTGGGACCAAGTCCCACATTGGGCTCCCTGCTCAGCGAGGAGTCTGCTTCTCCCTCTGACCCTCCCCCTCTCATGCTCTCTGTCTCTCATTCTCTCTCTCAGATAAATAAATAAAATCTTAAAAAAAAAAAGAAATTAACAGAAACAGACTCATAGATGACACAAATGTTGGAAATATTAGACAAGAAATTTTAAAATAACTGTGATTAAAATGTAAAAGAGTTAGTGGAAAAGGTGGATAACATGCCTAAAGAGATGATCTTTAGCAGAGAGATGAAACTACAAGAAAGACTGAAATGGAAATACTAGAAATAAAAAATATGATGTGAAATCTAAATAATTCCTTTCATAGGTTGTGTGTAGTTTCAATGTAACCATGATAGAAATTACCTAGACTAAAATTCAAAAAGAAAAAAGAATGGTTAAAAGCAAGACAGAGCATCCCATAGCTTTGGGACAATATCAAAAAGACTTACAGATGTAAGTGATCCTAGAGAGAAAAGAAGGAGAAAATGAAATAGATCTGAGAATCTCAGAAAACTTCATTCAGAAAAAATACCAAGATTAAAACACACACACACACACACACACACACACACATATTTACCCAGACACATCATAGTTAAACTGCTGAAAACTAAAGACAGAGAAAAATTTGAAGATTGTCAGCAGAAAAAAGACATTGCATAAAGAGGAACTAAAATAAGACTTAGAGCAGACTTCTCATCAGAAACTATGCAAGCAAGAAGCAATGGAATGACATCTTTAAAGGAAAAAAAACCTTTAAAAACCTGTCAACTCAGAATTCTAAACCCAGCAAAAAGTAGCTTCCAAAATGAAGATGAAATAAAGAAAAAATTCTGAGTGCATTATTTGCCAACAGACCTATATACAAGAAGGGTCAAAAAATATTCTTCAGGAAAAAAATTTTAAAAAAGAAAAAAATATTCTTCAGGCAGAAGAAATATAAAATCAGAAACACAAGGAAATGAAGAGGTCCAAAAATATGGGGAAAATGAAGGTAAAAAAAAATCCTTATATTTAATCACTCTAACAGATAAATTATTGTCTAAAGCAAGAAAAGTAACAATTTATTGTGAGATTTATGACACATGACAAAGTAATATATGCAACAACAGCACAATAGGTAAAAAAGAGATACTGGAATTACACTATGTATAGTAGTATATTATATTTTGAAAGTATTCAGTGATAAATAATATTGTAAGCTCTAGAACAAACACTAAAAATAAGGAGTATTTAACAAATAAGCCAATGAAATCATAAAAAATTTCAATTAATCCAAAGCCAGGTGGAAAAAAAAGATAAAAGGGACAAAGAAAAAATGAGACAAAAGAACTAGCAATATAGCAGATTTAAATCTAAATGTATCAATAATTCCATTAAGTATAAATGATCTAAATACTCTGATTATGAGTAAAGACAATTATGTCAATATGTTAATTCAAAAATTAAAACAAAAAAGGCAAAAAGGTTATGTCACCCCCTCTCTCCATTTAAAACCCTCAAATGGTTGGAAATGTTCTGAATCTTGATTGTGGCAGGGATCATATGACCATAAACCTTAGTCAAAATTCATAAAATAGTACACCTAAAAGGGATAGATTTTTACTGTATATAAACCATACTTCAATAAACCTAACTTAAATTTTTTTAAAATGAGAAAAAGATATTTTCAGACCAATTCACAAGTACTCACTAAAAGAAACACTAAAGTGACAAAGTTAGTATTATAAATCCATGAGGAAAGGATGAATACTTCAATAAACAGTGACACAGTGCTGGGGTACATGACTGTCATTATATAAAAAATAAAATTAGATTCTTACTTTTTATCATGTCCAAAGATACAAAAAAAAAAGCAAGCACCAGAGTCCTAAAAAGGTACACTGTTTTCCCAGTTTATGACTCTTCTGAGAACTACACTCTTGACCTTCAATGCCTGTGTTTGTTACTATAATGGCTTGGTCCCAAGTCATAGGTGACTAAACCTAGGGTGGATATTTGTCCCAAGCTAAGCCAGTCAGATTTTTCTGTCACAGGAATTTGAAGTTTGACTTGATGGTTCTGGTTAATCTGTATTTTTCAACTGATGTGTTTTGTGAACTTAGGAACTGAGGCTTCCATAGTGAACAACCATGTGCACAGAGGAACAGAGATAGACCACATCATTAGAGATAGACTAATGAAGCAGCTGTGCAGAGAATAACACAGAAGATTGTTCCTACACCCTGAGAGACAGAAGACAGACAGAGCAGTTTTCACCTTCCAGAGGCCTGGTGGCCCAGACTTTCTCTGAGGTACACTTAAGATAGTCTAAGATACACTTAAGATAGAGTAACCAAAAGAGTGAACCTTAGCTACATTACTGGGTTTTGCTACCAGGAGACAGAGAGACTAAGCTTCTGTGGCCACTTATATTGGTGTCAAGAAGGATGACAGCCATAGATGACTAGACTGGGCTCAAGTGGCAAGAAGTGAAGTCTGAACTATAAGGATGGAGATTAATCCTTTAAAAGTCACCCAACCCATGGCCTGTGGACCAGTTGGTGCACAAATAACAGGTAGAAAGGGTGACTCCATTGAAATATTACTTTATTAGAAGAGCCAGCTTTCTTCCAGAAAATGACAGATTGTTTTCCTCAATTTACATATGATCCTGAAACCTCTGATTTTCTCAAATTTTAATTAAGATATAAATATACCAACAGCATTTTCTGAACTGCAATTTAAAAAACCTGAATGGCCACCAATGCATTGAAAGGAGTTCTAAAACAGAATTATAAAAACTTGGGGTATAATATTCTGTTAAGTAGAACATTTCCTGCTCTACCAGAGAACATATTTTATTGAATAGCTAAATATACTTTCTCAGATTATGATAAATTTACTATAATTATCTAGAAGTTTCAATCTAAGAATGTTCACACTCAAGCAAAATCTGAGTGAAAAAACACTCAAAATATGATCATACACATCCTTATTTTGTTAAAACAATACCGTCAATATAAAAGAAACTTAGATGTCTTGAAGTAAGGTTTCCAAAGTATAAAAACAAACAATAACTCAGACATTCAGAATGTAAGGTTTCCTTATATGTATCTCATATTCCACAAGATTACTAAAATTTCCATTACAGTTTTAAAGGTAGTGAATGTGATATCCTATTCCACACACTTCACACAGTAATTAAAAAACAAGGTTTTGGAAGTTAAATAGCCTGGGTTAAAATTCTCATTCCACCATTTTAGCTCAGTTATCTACTAAATTTCAAATTATTAAATCACTCCTGGCCTCAATTTCCTCATCTGTAAAATGGAATAATAATAATGTCTAACTCATAGGAATTTTTGAGAATATAGGGCACTTACAGCAGTACCTCATGACTATAAAAGCTCAACAATATTTATCACAGTATGTTTGAGATAAAGTCCAATGAAAAGACTTAAAATTAAATGACAACATGGATAATCATTTACAGGAAATGATTTCTCAGATCAGAGTAATGGTCCAAGCTTTTCAAAGTGATATAAATAAAAGGATAATAAAACCATTTGAAAAGTTCATATAGTTATCACACTATCAATGATAGTAATTCAAAAAGATATCCATGAAATTGCATAAATTATCAAGTTATAGTATCTTAAAAACAGGTAGAAATACCTAGTTAAAATAAATACAGTGAATAGCCAAAAACTGGAAAGAGCCCAGGTGTCCATCAATAGGAGAATGTATACATGCCATACAATGGAATATTACTCAGCCACAAAAAATAGGAATGTTATGCTTTGTGGAAGAAGCCTTACACAAAAGAGTACATACAGTATGATTCTGTTTATATGAAGTTCTAGAATAGGCAAAACTAACCTGTGGTGGAAAATAATCAGAGTAGTAATTTCCCACCGTGGGGTAAGAGTAAGGATTTACTGGGAAGGGACATAAGAGAACTTCCTGGATGTTAGTCATGTTCTGTATCTGTATCAAGCGTACACTTTTGTTGGAACTCATGAATGGTATACTTACCTCTTGTGTATTTCATTGTACATAAATTTTACATCAAAAGAAAAAACCCAACCAAACAAAACAACTTAATGATATGTATGCTGAAGCATTTGGGGGAAAGTATAACCATATCTGCAACTTATGTTGCAATGTATAAAAAGGATGAGTTGACAGATGGATAGAGGGATGGATAAGTATGTGATAAAGCAGCAAGAATAATAAAATGTTAATTGCAGAATCTGGGAGGTGGTAGGTATGTGGGTGCTTACTCTGAAGTCCTGTCAACTTTTCTCTACGTTTAAATACTTTCAGATAAAATAAATGAAAAATACTTTATGTTCCTTACCAGCGCCTGGAGTTATTAACAATCACTCCATTATCTATGGAGAAAGTATCTGTTGGCAATCCAGCAATATTCCAAGCTCTAATTTTTACTGGATCACCCAGAGTCTTACTCAATGAGAACTCCTCTGAACATGGAATTTTTTTCTCCTGTAAGAAATAAACAAATATCTAATGTTTTTTTATCTTGTTGAAATATTTTTTAAATTATTGATTTGTCATTAGATATTACTTAATAACTCTAAAAAATAGAAAAAAACTGAATTGAAAGTTGGACTATAAAAGTATTTTACTGATCAAACAAGAAGAAAAAACAAGACCCCATACTTTAAGCTATTTCTTCTCTTCTTCATCCTTATTACCATCTTTTCCTCCATAATACCCCAAAACATACTTTGAATGTTCAAAAGGAAACTTATGAAATATAAAACTATTACCTTGCACAACATGCTCCAATTTTCTGTACATTTTTGCCGAAAGCCAGAAGTGAAAGCACCAAGATAGGCTATTACTCCTGCTGAGACTAAGACATCACCTGTCAAATTTTCATAAATTATCTGAAGGTCATCTGCAGCCTGATACCATCTGTGAGATTAACCAAAGGAAAAATAGCCTCACCAGAGAGAATGATGGAAGACAGTAATAGAAAGGGTAAGGGACTTCTAGTCCAAATTCTATAACAAAAAGCCATGAAATGTTGGATTCTTATCTATAAAATGAGGAGGTTGGGTCCCTTCTAGCACTGACATGCTATAATATATCTATGCTATATGAATGACAATCCATCTTTCATTATTAGATCACTAGGCATTTCTTGTAGAACTTGACCCTTGGGAATAAGCAAGAACAAAAACAAAAACACGCCGGCAGTTTGTGTAATAATTTTCTCCAGGATGATTTGTTTGGTTTAGTGGCCCTGCTACTTGTTTCAGTATTTACTGTTAGTCTGTAAAACATAAAAAAATTTGCAATTCATTACCAAAAATTCCATTTAAGTTGTATAACAGCTGCCATACTAGTGCTAAGGTTGGTATTTTTTCCATTTCATGAAGTCTTTACAATAAAAAAGTGCATTTCAAAACCACCTAATCTGCACTACAAAGTACTGTCAAAGGCCTATTACCTTATCATGCTATTCACTCAACACATATAATTAATAAATGAGATAGCTGGCTGGCCAGTCCAAATAAATAGATTAGGATAAAGTTAACTGTTTTTGTTAGATCAGTCCAGTTATATCTTCTTTGAAATAAATTTTAAGAAAGTGAACCATATATCCACTACTCCCCCCACCCCCGTGAACATTTTATTATGAAAAAATTTGAATACACATAAAATTGAAAGAATTATACACTGATCACCCACACACTCACCACTTAAAATAAAAATTATCCTTTGTCTTATAAAAAATTTGGAAACAAGTGGCAAACACCATCCTTGACACTGATATTCTGCCGGGAGAACCCTGGCCAGGTGCCTTGTTGAATGCCCCACATTCTAAACCAGACACTTAAAAATCAATAATCATAATAAACACCCAATGAAAGTAACATATTCAAGCCTGACTTTCTTAAATGTTGTTAAAATAAGTAGATATCTGACCTTGATTTTTCTCCACCCAGTCCTCCAATTAGTTTTGAGGCTCTCTCAAGCTTCTTAGCACAGAGTTCCACTTGGTCTTCTAAACGAGCCTTTTCCTCAGTTTTCTCAATAAATGTTCTTTGTAAATTTTCCAAATGATGTTCTACTTCTGCCAATTCTGCTCTCTTCTGATTCAAAAGCTCCATTATCTCAGCTAAGGACTTCTGAGCTTCTGTTAAGCGGGCTTTCTTAGGAGCCACTACCTGTTTGGGAACAATAAATGCAGCTAGGATGGGTGCTATTTAAAACTGACACCAAATAAGCCTTTACAGATATGATGGGTTAAAAGTGATTCATTATTATTATAAATACATTTGTTATTTATAATAATAAATTATACAAAATAAGTATTTTGACTTAAATCTTACATTTTTTTTAACCTAAAGTAAAATATATTTATAGGTCATATAAAATATATAAAACATTCTGGAGTAGCAAATGATCATCTATAAATAGATGATTATTTCAGACTAACAAAATGTTATAATATGTAGCAAAAACAGTACAAGATATAGCAAAACGTCTCAAAATAATGAGAAGTTGCCATTCAACTGTTGCCAGAAACAGAGGGGAAAAAAACATGTAGCAGAAATTAAAAACGTTTCAAATATACGAATATGCTTTGTGTGTGTGTGTATGGCATTTTCAAGTCTGTGGTCTTCTTCCCAGTTGGCTGAAGCATACATTTGCCTTGGGGGGGATTAAGACTATGATAATAGAATTACAAAGAGAAAGAAAGCCTTGATAATATATCAAGAATGGGGTTTGGTCAATTTTTAAGCCATTGGTAGAAAGAATTGAGAAGATGACCAAAGATAATATATGCCAGTTTGAAAGAAGGAAGGTCTAAGTCTGGGGGTTCATTGCCATGAACGAAGCTGATGGCAAAGAGGGAAGGAGGAGGCAGGGATCAGACACCAAATGTCCTGTTTTCTCTCCTCGGGGCTGAAATTCTGAAGGGGGAATGTGTTAAATAAATAGAGAGCAGGAAGCTCCACTTTCTACTTTTGACTTCAGAGGAGACCTTACTGAATATCTCCCTCCAACCCTCCCATAACAACATGGGGCAGCTGCATCAGAATTAAAATGGCAGTGTGGAGGTGTAGAGTGGGAAGTCAGGAAAGATTCTGAATGCCCTGGCTTCTCTGCTTCATGCCTTGTGAGACATGCGGACATGAGCTAGGTTGAGAGTTCCAAAACCTGCGATGGGGAGGGGACAAGATGTTCAATGGAAGAATATCCCAGATAAAATTAATTTTATTTCTTTGACAAGTCTACTCCCCCAAAACTAACAATCAAAATCCCTCCCTCTCTACAGGCACATGTACCTTACTAGGAATATCTTCCCAATTGTGACAGCCTCATCATTTATTCTATACTCTGAGATTATTCTAAACACATGCTACCACGTATTTTTATCTGCCTTTTTATTTATATTTCCTGCTTCCCTCAGTAGAATTCTGCAAGCTACAGAGGGCAAGGCCAGTGTTTCTGTGGTCCTTTGCTAGCTAAATTTACAAAATGCTTTTAACCATTCTCCATAAAAGGTTCTTTACCTATGCATGCCATTGCTTCAGGGCAACTGTCCATGCTCTGCCTCTTAACTCTACTGGATCTTCTAACTTCTGACCCTTTGAATCAACTTTTTAATCTGCCACTTTGCCCTTGAAGTTTTGGCTTTTGCCCCAAGTCTCTACAGCTATAGGTCAGTCTGGCCGATTCATCCCTGTTCCCACAACCCTACCACTCACTACCACTAGCCAAGACCAGGTTATATCACACACAAGTATTCTCTTCATCTACTAGGTACTCAACATCTGATGTCTGTGCTGCAGCAAGGTACATTCTTTCTGGTATCTGTTTTAGAAACTTCTTAATTAGTCAATATTGGCATAGATTTTAGTTTCTGGGAACATTTCAATAGAAAATGAATATGTTGATCCTCCAAATACCTTTGCAACTCTGTCATACACTTCCATAGCCATGATCCACTTGCACAGACCCTCAGCTGCAGAGGAAGCTTTAGCAATCTTAGAAGCGTCGAATTCAGGGTTTGTTAAGTATTCACCACGTATCTTCTGCATAACAGTCACCTATACAACAAACATTTCCATCTTAAAATTTCAACATATATCATACAATCATAAGATGAAAGATTACAGACATTGAAGCAACATGTTTCCTCCAAAAAAAATTAAAAGACTGTTGGCGATTGGGAAAATATGTGGAAATGAGAAAAAAACAATTAAACCTTAATCAATAAATACAAGTTTGGATGCAAAAGTGCACTCTACTTTTTTATCTCACATACATTTGTGTTTCAGATTTATGAAACTATTATAAGACGGAGAACTGTTTCAAGTTAATAATACACTAAAACAGTAATTCATTAAATGACTTTCAGTGGTATGAAGGAGTGGTTTTATGCATTATGAGAATTCATAATGTAGTCAATAATATAATATTCCTGCATTATTTTAATCCTAAAAATGGACTATCTTATGTTTTATATAATATTGCATAATGTTAAAGATCTTATACATCTTGGCAAAGTTATATGTATAGAAAAAAATCCAATGAAACTCACTGGAATGTTGTCCTTGTCATATTCTCTCAATTCTCTTAAGAAATTCATATCTCCCAGAAGCTTTTTGCTAGGTCCCCAGTAATCTAATATCTATAAATAAAATTTGTGGAAACTTATTAAACATACAATTAAAGATGCTCAGTATAAACTTTTCTTCTTGAAGTTTAAGGTATATTATCCAGAGAAACCATATACTTTCAAAATATCAACTTCTATCTCTTTGGAAATAGACTCCTCTCCCCAAAAACGTACTAAATATATCAAACATTTAAGATATGAACATAAACTTGTATACTGAATTCATTATAAAAAATTATACATTGAAAGGCAAATGATGCAATTATTTCTCTTTAGGAAATGTAAGAAAAGCAACTAGCATAAACACCATCAGAATTTCATATAAGAAAATGTATTTTTATTATTTCCAGCTTTTTTTTCCTTTAGTCTTGATTCTTTCAAACCAGAAAAGTAGTGCTATAGGCTGAAATTGTCCCCTATCACCCCCATCAAAATTCATATGTTGAAACCTAATCCCCAGTGTGTTGGTATTTGGAGACTGGGTCGTGGACAGGTGATTAGGTCATGAACGGGATTAGTGTCCTTAATAAAAGAGAGCTCCCTCCCACTTCTGCCATGTGAGGATACAGCAAAAAGAATGTCATCTATAAACCAGGAAATGGGCCCTACACCAGACACTGAATCTACTGGAGCCTTGATCTCAGAATTCCCAGCCTCCAGAACCATGAGAAATAAATATAAGCCACCCCAGTCTATGGTAATTTTAATAGCAGCCCAAAGGACTAAGACAGGTAGCAAACATTTTTCTTATGGATGGGACCTCCTCACCCAGCAAGGCTCCCCAAGTGAGATAAAGAAGAGAAAGAAGACAAGGATTACACATCACTCTGCCAGTTACAGGATAAAGTATATGGTACTTGTGCTAGCAAAGATGTTAAATAAGTAGCCCAACAGATTTTTTCCTAATTCCAGAAGCCTAATAGGTAGGGTGTGTGTATGCATAAATGAGAATGACTTGGTAAGGTGAGAGCTGATTTATTTATTATCTCAGTAAAGTACAGAATGCATACACACACACACACACACACACACACACCCCTCAATTCTCCAATCCAGGAATTCAAACCTAGGTACTATAAAAGCCTGAAAAGAAAATAAGTCCATAAATTTAGTTTAGGATGGATGCTAGGCCTTTCTTTTTAAGAGATATAGCCTTGAATAATAATCATAACAACAACAGCTAACATTTATTGTGAACTGTTGATAAAGCTTTATACACAAGAGCTTTATATGTATTATCTATCTATATGTATAATCTATATGTATCTATCTATACATATGATCTATATGTATCTATCTATATGTATAATCTAATCATCAGATTAACTTTGTGAGGCAGGTACTATAATAATCCTCCAGAGTTCCACAGAATTTAAGCATCTTGCCTAAGGTCACACTGCTAGTGGGACAGAATTTCTGAATACAGACATTCTGGCTCTAGAACACATACTTTTTTTTTTTTTTTAAGATTTTATTCATTTATTTGTCAGAGAGACAGCACAAGTAGAGGGAACAGCAGGCAGAGGGAGAAGCAGGCTCCCCGCCAAGCAAGGAGCCCCATGCAGGGCTGGATCCCAGGACCCCAGGATCACGACCCAAGCCGAAGGCAGATGCCCAACCAACTGAGCCACACAGGTGTCCCTAGAACACATACTTTTAACAACTTCACTATACTGCTTAACTCAGCAGAATTTCCTGAATGCTCATATAACCACATAGGTGTTCTTTCTAACACGTTCTTCAGAATCTTAGCTGGAAAAAGCTCACATACTTCCGTTTTCAATCAATCCCACCCCATGATAGCAGGTAACCTGTACAGACAGAAAAAGAAATAGAAGCAACTGGAACCACATTTTTCTGATGCTATATACTGCCTTAGCTTTACCGTGGAATACATGTAGATAATGTTTTCCATTCTTTATTCTGAATCCATTCAATCTGGAAAACAATGTTTCTTCCCTGGACTGGATACTGTCGACATTTAATTTGATAATAGTTGCTGTGAAGTGTTCTGTACATTCATGATTATGATTTTAATCTGTTTCTAGTTATTACCTTGCCTCCAGTTCCTGAAGGATCTGAAATTTTTTCTGGCTTTATATCTTTCATGACACAAATAGCAGCCATAACTAATTTAACACCAGATGGAGGATTCTTCATTGATTTCACAATTGTAATGTCAGCTGGCTAAATTGAAAGAAAACAGAGTATCTTCAGAATAGTTTATTTTTAAATAATGGGAATTTAGAAAATAATGTTGGAGAATTATGGAACATCAATTTTCATTTGAAATTATGATTGTTTTGGCTTTGCCTAATTATGAAATAATTAATAAAAGAGAATTTAAATTTAGCACAGATTAAGACCACGGTTCTCAAATGTTTGGGAGTTCATAGATCTTTATGAGAATATGATAACAGCTATGAATCCTCCAGAAAGTACATTTTTGCACATATATAAAAAATTTGCATACAATCACATACCAATCTGAGACACTGAACCCAGATTAAGAACCCTAATTTAGATAAAGACTTAATTCTATATTTGCTTATATAGTAGTTTTAGCAAAAAAAAAAAAAAAATGAAAGTAGAGGTAGACCCTAATTTAAACTTATTTCCGAATAAGGTATATATTGTTATGACAGACACAATAGATTCACTCACTTATTACCTACTCCAATATCCTTCTGACATCCTTTGCAATTGTTGGAAAGCTAACAACTATATATTTTAGTTCCCCATAAATTAGAGTTGTGGGTGGTCACTGGGTTCTATCATCAGATCACTTGAATGATACAAGAATTCTGACTGAATAAATGGGGAGATGGGCAGGGAGTGAGGCTCTCATTTGCTGATATAGATTACAGCAAAGGTGGTGAGGCTCTGTGAGATGGCTCTGCAAGCCTCTGACTCAGAGGATCATTCCTCTGGTAGACTATTTCCAGTTTGGCTCTGTGAGTCATTCCTGGCAGCTCAGCCTAGGATCTGTTTCTTCAGCTCTTCCAATAATTGTGTAATCCATTTACAAAATTCCCTAAAGAATCCTTGTCTGCTTATACTAAATAGAGCCAATGTCTCTACTCTGCAACTGAAGCTACTTCATAAAATATAGTATCTGATACCAGGAAGGGTACAAGCAACAGACTCTCAATGAGAGGGGAACCTAATATCAATGATCTGAACTGGTAAGGTTTGAAGGCAATCAAGAATCCTGTGAGTTTCACAACACCCAAAGAACAAAGAATCCAATCAAGAAATGGGCAGAAGACATGAACAGACATTTTTCCAAAGAAGACATCCAAATGGCCAACAGACACATGAA